GAGCAGGGAGCCTGACGCGGGGCTCGATCCCAGGACCCTGGGATCATGACCTGAGCCGAAGGCAGACGCTTAACAACTGAGCCACCCAGGCGCCCCAAGACAACTTTTTAAACTGTGGTTTTATTATACTTTATTGAGAATTGATCATATTGAGAAATTTAAAAAAATCAAATACTTAAGTAGTACTTACCTTGTATCTGGTTCTGTTGTAAGTACTCTGTAGATACTATTTCATTAATGCCCTTAACCCTCCAAGGTAGGCACTGTTATTATCCTTTCACTACAGATAAGCAAACTGAGACACAGGTTAAGTAATGTGTCCAAGGTCACACAAGTGGTTAAGTGGTGTCACTAGAATTCACCATGAAACAGGCTGCCTCTGGAATCCAAGATTTCTAATGCCTTATTACCTTTTTCAGATTTTAAGGATGAATTCTTTTAGACTCACTGTATTGTATCATGAATTCATTTGGACCAATGATATAGGGAGGGCTGAAATCTCAGCATGCTAATATTGAAGAATGAAGGACTAATTACAATATTTATTTGTCAGTGGTAGTACATTAAACTGTTCAGAAATATTTCTTAAATTAGTATAAAGCATAAATTGTAGATAAAAAATTTTTCCTTGCTATTTGCTAATCATTCAATATATTAACACTTGAAAAGGAAAATGTTAATACATACAAAATAGTAAAAAAACATTTTTTGGAATGGTAAACAAAATGTTCTGTATATGTTTCTTTTACAATTCATTTGGGACTAGAAAGCTTAGTATTTTAAATGGTTCTGGAAATATGAAAGCATGATGTATATATACATTTATTTTCTTCTTCTTTTTAAAGGCCACCTCGACCAAGCACCCCAGACCTTTCTAAGGCAAGGGGTTCCCCTCCAACTTCCAGTAATGTTGTGCAAGGACAGATTAAACAAGGTAAAATTAAATCTTATTAAGTAATTGACCTGACATTTCAGCTGTAGAAACTGAGGAGGCATAGCTAATGTATAATCATAACATTTTGTTTGTCTCAGATTGTTAAAAGAGAGAAAAGTTGTTATATTCCAGATGTAAATATGGATAATTAAGATGTCAGTTAAAAATAAATCAGATTTATTTAGAAACTGATAAATGAGCATATTTCACATAATTTTATTGTACTGTCTTTGACCTAATTTTTGTGAATTAGGGGCACCTTAACTTGACAACACTAGTGTGTTAATTGTGTGTATCTTGAGTTTAAAAGTTATACCTATTTTTAACTACATTTAGAAATGTTTAAAATCATATTTTCATACTCTATTCTGCTGTTTGCCAGTAGTTCATGCTTTGTAATCCACAAGTGGAAAAACTTTCTTTTTATTTATATCATCATTGTCTACAGCTTTGTTTTTCATTAGTGGATAGAAGAGAAAGTTGAGTTCTCTTCCATTATTACCTTTTATGTTCATTATAAGAGTAGCAAATGCAACCAGAGTTGGGGGTGGGGGGGTCATTTCTGCTGAGAGAGCTTTCTTTCAGGCCGAGAGTTAATGCTGACTCACTCAGAAAGTGATAGAAGTGAAGAAGTGAGCAAGACATGGGATGATGAAGGTTCTGCCTGTAAATGGTGACTTCAGGGTCTTCTTTTTTCCATAGGTTTTTTGTTTGTTTAGGTTTTAAAGATTTTTTCTTTTTCTTTTTTTTTTTTAAACAATTTTTCCCTTCCCTAGGACAAATACTTTTCTCTTTCTTAGCTTAGTATTTGGTATTTACTTTAATATCTTTAAATAGGTGCCTGATTTTCAGTTTTAGGCATTGTCTATTGGCTTCTCATTATGGACGATAAGCTCCCACATTCTCTACCCCCACTCCATCATTCATTCCAACCCCACATGCTCACCCCTTTTGTTACCCTTTCTCTGATTAAAATTAACATAAGCTATTATAAAATAATTGTATGTTATAGAAAAGTTTTGGTTGGATAACTTTTTATACTTCTGAACGTGTGACACACATGTATAAAAAAGTACACAAAATAGAAATACGTAGCTCAGTAACTTTTACATGCTAAACTCCCTTGTAATTACGTCTGTGGACAAGAAATCGAACGTTGCCATCATGCCAGAAGTTGCTGGTATGTTCCTTCCCGGTCATTATGTGCCCCCTTCCAAAGGTAACTACTGTCTTGACTTCTGGGAAATTACTTCCTTTCTTTCTTTTAGAGTTATACCACGAAGTTTAAATCCCTAAACACTGTAGTTTAGTTTTGCTATGCTTTGAATTTTATATGAATTCTGTCAGTCACAGAGTATGTAGTCTTTTGTGTGTGGCTTCTTTTGTGAGATTTATCGATGATACTGCGTTTGAAGTTTACTCATTTTCATTGTTCATTTTTATTGCTCTGTAGTATTCTGTGGAATGAGTAGACCACAGTTTCTTCATGCATTTTCCTGTCAGTAGACATTTGAATTATTTTCATTGTTTTTCATAAATCTACAAACGTTCTTGCATTTGATTCTTAATGTACTTTATCAGTATTTCTGTTCTATATATAACTAAAAGTGAAATTTCTGCATATGTTTAGCTTTAGCAGATAATATTAGGATGTTTTCCTAAGTGAGTGACTACTGTACATCCATCAAAATGGCTAAAGTGAAAAGAAGGAAAATACTGTTGGCTAGGATATGGAGCAAAAAGAAGTCTCATACACCGTTGGTGAGCTATGCTAGCCAAGCCTGAATATTTTCCATCTCTTTCACTTTAGCCATTTTGATGTATGTGTAGTAGTCTCTCATGTGTTTAATTTACATACCCTAATTCCCATCAAGGTTGAATACTTTTTTGGTATGTTTATTGCTCATTTCTATATGTTCTTTTGTGAAGTGCCTGTTCAACTCATGTGTGTCTATTAGGTTGTTTTCTAAAAAAAAAAAAAAATATCCATTGTAAGGGTTGATCTGTGACTGTCCTCAATATGAGCCCTTTGTTATATGTACTGCAAATATTTATTTGCCTTTCACTCCTATCTTGAAATTCAGCATCTTTCAATTTCAGTGGAATCTAATATATCAATTTTTTCACTTATTACTTAATATTTGTATGTCCTGTTTCAGAAGTTACCCTGATATCATGAGGATAGCCTTCTGTTTTAGAAGCTTTATTGTTTTACCCTTTTTATTTAGATCTATAATCTGTCTAGAATTCATTTTTGGATATAATGAGCAGCAGGGGTCCTGTTTCATTTTTTTCCTCCATACAATACCAGATTGGTCCAGCATGATTTATTAAAGGGATGATTCATTCCCCACTGCTTTTCAGTGCCATCCTTGTCATAAATAAAATGTTCTTCTATATGATCTGTTTCTGGGGCAGTTTGAGCCCATTGATTTGCTTGTGTATTCTTGTGCCTTAATTACTGTAGCTTTGTAGTAGGACTTGGTATTCAGCAGATAGAGTCTTCCCACCTTATTCTTAAAGAATGTCATGGCTATTCTTGTTTCTTTGAATATCTCAATTGTCAGTTTAGAGCCAGTTTCTCAGTTATTATAAAAACCTATTGTGATTTCAACTGCAATTTTATTGAATTTATAGATGAGTTTGGGGAGAATTAATATCTTTGTGGGTTTCATTCATTCAGTGTATTCAGTGTATTCAGTATATTCCTTTATTTAGATCTCATTTGGCTATTGTAACTCTTTTATAGTTTTCTGTGTAGAGGTCTCATATACTTCTTATTTAGATTTTTTTCCTAGATAAGGATTTTTAAAATACTCTTGTAACTGGTATTGAATATTTTGTTTTCTGTGCCTCTGGCACAGAAATGCAGATTATTTTTGTATGTTGACCTTGTATCAAGCAGTCATGCTAAATTCACCCATTATTTGTAATACTTTATTTGTGGATTACTTTCACTATATGGACAGTCATATGGGATACTTTTTCTATGCCCAGTGTTTTCCCAAAGGGAAAACTTTTAAGTTTTCATAATTATTATATTTCCTGTATGCTTTTTACAAGAAATTCACTTTCCATTATTCCTTTGCTAAGTGCTTATCATCATTGTATGTTGGGTTTTATCATGCCTTTTCTGTATCTATTGAGATGATTATATATTTTTTCCTTTTATTCTGTTGTGATTGATGTATTATCATCTTATATATTGTTGAATTTGGCTTAATGTTTTTTATTTGGGAAAAAGTTTTCTCTTCTTCCCCCTCCTCTTTTTTTTTTTTGTTCAAACAAGTAGGCTCCATCCCTAGCATGGAGCCCAATGCAGGGCTTGAACTCACAACCCTGAGAGCAAGACCTGAGCTGAGATCAAGAGTTACACGCTTAACCAACTGAACCACCCAAGTGCCCCAGTTTTCCTTTCTTCTAATGCTCTTATTAAGTGTTACCTTATTAAGGTTTCAAAAAAATGGATTAAGGAATCTTTTCTCTCTTTCTGTTTTCAGGTAGAATTTGTGTAAGATTGGCATTCTTTCTTCCATAAATGTGCAGTACAATTTGCTGGATTTAGATCTAGAGTTTTCTCTGTGGGAAGTTTTTTAATTCTAGGTTTAATTTCTTTCATTGTCATGTGACACTTCAGATTTTCTGTTTCTTCTTATGTCAGTTTATTAAGTAGTACATATTTAGCGATTTTTCTAGTTCTTTTAAATTTGTTGTCATTTGAAAAGATATTATCTTTTAAATTTCTTTAATATCTGTAGTGATACCACCATTCTTACTCCTGATGTTAATCATTTGTATCTTCCCTCTTTTTTCTTGATCAGTCTCATCAGGAACTTACCAATCTTATTAGTTATTTTAATGAATCCTCTGTGCCTTTGTTTATCCTTTCTAAGTGCATATTTTTTCCTATCTCCCTGAAGTCTACTCCTCTCCTATGTTTTTTGGAGTTATTATGCTGTTTATTTTTAACTTCCTTTTTTTTATTATTATTTTTTTATTATGTTAATCACCATACATTACATCATTAGTTTTGGATGTAATGTTCCATGATTCATTGTTTGC